TCTAAGTTAGTTTTTGTGTATGATGTAAGATAGTGGTCCAGTTTCATTCTCTTGCCTATGGTTATCTAATTTTCTAAATGCCATTTATTAAAGAGACTGTCCTTTCCCCATTGTATACTCTTGGCTCCTTTGTTAGAAATTAACTGGCCATATGTGTGTGGGTGGGTTTGTTTCTGGGCTGTCTATTCTGTTCTATTGATCTATATGTCTGTTTGCCTTGTTTTAATTACCATAGCTTTATAATATAGCTTGAAATCAGGGAGCATGGTACCTTCAGCTTTGTTCTTTTTCAAGATTGCTTTGGTTATTTGGGGTCTGTTATGGTTTCATACAGATTTTAAGATAGTTCTATTTCTGTGGTAAATGCCACTGGAATTTTAATATTACATTGAATTTGTATATTGCTTTGGGTAGAATGGACATTTTAGCAATGTTAATTTGTCCAGTCATGGGCATGGGATATCTTTCCATTTATTTGTGTCCTCTTTAATTTTTTTCATTAACATCTCATAGTCTTCAAGAAACAGGCTCTCCCCCCACCTTGGTTAAATTAGATCTTGGTATTTTATTCTTTTTGATACAGTTGTAAATGGTTTTCCTGAATTTCTCTTTTCTCATAGCTCATTATTAGCATATAAAAATGTAACCAAATTTTGTATATTGATTTTTACTGACTTTACTAGTTTAACCATTTTTTGATGAAGTCTTTAAGGTTTTATATATATCGTATCATCTTTGAATAATGACAGTTTTACTTCTTCATTTTCAATTTGGATGACTTTTGGTTTTTTCCTTAGCTAATTGCTGTGACTTGGAGTTCCAGTACTTTGTTGAATTAAAGTGTGCATCCTTGTCTTGTTTCTGATTTTAGAGGGAAAACTTTCAGTTTTTCACTATTGAGTTTATTGTTAGCTGTGGGCTTGTCACATATGGCCCTTACTATATTGAGGTATGTTTTCCACGACACTGGCTTTGTTGAGAGTTTTCATCATAAATGGGTGTTGAATTTTGTCAGATGCTTTTCTGTATCTATTGAGATTGATCAAAGGATTTTTACCCTTCAGTTTCTTAATGCGGTGTATCACGTTGACTGATTTGCAGATGTTGAACCATCCTTGCATCCCTGCAGTAATCCCACTCCATCATGGTGTATGATGGTTTTAATGTATTATTGAATTTTTCTTATTTGTAAGTATTTTGTTGAGGATTTTTGCATCTGTGTTTATCAGGGAAATTGGCCTGTAATTTTCTCGTGCTTTTAGTAATTTATTCAAACTATTGACTGGAATAGAGTCCCCAACTGTTATTATGATTGCTGTCTTATTTCTCCCTTTAAGTCTGCAAATAGTTTCTTTTTATATTTAGGTGCTCCAATGTTGGGCGCATAAGTGTTTACAAATGTTATATCTTCTCATTGGATTGACCCTTTTATCATTATGTAGCACTCTCTTTGTCTTTATTACAGTCTTTGTTTTCAAGTCTATTTTGTTTGATGTAAGTATATATACTCCAGCTTTGGTTTCCATTTGCATGGAAAATCCCTTGTTCCGTCCTTCTTTCCATACATCTATAGCAAGTCTCTTATAGGTAACATATAGATAAGTGTTTTTTAATCCATTCACCCACTCTGTATCTTTTGATGGGAACATTTAGTCCATTTACATTAAAGTAATTTTTGAGAGGTAGGTGCTTATTGCCATTTTATTACTTGTTTTCTGGCAGTTTTTATAGTTCCTCTCTGTTCCTTTCTTCCATTGTTCTCTTCCTTTGGGGTTTGATGGTGTTTTTTTTTTTTTTTTTTTGATGGCTTTCTTTAGTGGTATGCTTATATTCTTTTTCTTTATCTTCTGTGTATTTAGTATAGGTTTTTGCTTTGTTTTGCAACTGTGAGGCTTAAATATAACAACTTCTGTCTGTTACAGTCTACAGTCTTAAGTTGATAACAACTTAAGACTTAAGACTTAACAACATAAGTTTTGTCCCATTGTAAAGCTTAAGATATTACTCTTGCCATTCACACTTCATGTTTTTGATGTTACATTTTACATCTTTGTATATCTTCAGTATCCCATAACCAAATACTGTAGTTTTAGGTAATTTTATTACTTTTGTCTTTTAACCTTCTTAATAGCTTTAGAATTAATTAATTCACTACCTTTACTATAAGTTTATCTTTCCAGTGCTCTTTCTTTTCAGTGTAAAGAAGTCTTTTTAGCATACCTTATTTAGTTTTTGCTTGTCTGGAAAATTTTTTATTTCCTCTTCACTTCTGAATGATAACTTTGCTGTGTAGAGTGTTCTTGATTGAAAGGGTTTTTTTCTTTCAGCACTTTGAATATATAGTGTCACTCTCTCCTGGCTTGTGCAATTTCTGCTAAAAGTTCTGTTGCTAGCCTTGTCAGGCTTTGTTGTCTGTAGTAAGTTATTTTTTTCTTGCCGCTTCTAATATTCTCTCCTTGTCTTTAACTTTTAATATTTTAATTACAGTGTGTCTTGATGTGGGTCTCTTTGGGTTCCTCTTGTTGGGAACTGTGTGATCTTGCTGGATTTGGATGTCTGTTTCCGTCCCCAGATTAGGGAAGTTTTCAGCCATTATTTTTTCTAGTAAGATTTTCCCTTTCCCTTATCCTGGGAGCCCGATGATGCAAACATTAGTCCATTTGATGTCCAGTAAGTCCTTTAAGCTATCCTCACATTTTTCCATTCTTTTTTTCTTTTTGCTATTCTGATTTGGGTGGGTTCTATTGCCTTTTCTTGAAGTTGACTGATTCCTTTTTTTCTTCATCTACCTTTCATCAACCCTTTTGGGGCATTTTTGTTTCAGTTATTGTATTCTGTGACTTCTGTTCAGTATCTTCTTAGATCTTGCATCTTTTTTGTTGAAGTTCTCATTGTGTTCATGCGTTTTTTTTCTTCCCAGATGATGATCCCAGTGATCATCTTTTCTTTTTTCTTTTCTTTTCTTTTTTTTTCCTCACTTAAATGCAATTTTTAAAAATCTGAGTATAGTTGACACACAATGTTACATTAGTTTCAGGTGTATGACTTAGTGATTTGACAACTTTATACATTATGCACTGCTCACCACAAGTGTAGCTACCATCTGTCCTATTACATAGCTATGACAATATCAGTGACATATTCCTTATGCTCTGCTTTTTATTCTTATAAGTTATTCATCGCATAACTGGAGACCTGTATCTCCTGCTCTTTGCCTAATCACGCACTCTCCTCCCCTCTGGCAACTATCAGTTTGTTGTCTGTATTTATAGTTCTGATTTTGATTTTGGTGTATTTTTTCAGATTATACTTATGACTGGAATCATATAGTATTTGTCTTTCTCAATCTGACTAGTTTTAGTTAGCATGATACCCTCTAAGTCCATTCATGTTGTCTCAAGTGGCATGACCCTATCCTTTTTATAGCTGTGTAATATTCCATTGTGTATATATAGCACATTTTCCTTATCCATTTGTCTATTGATGGATACTTAACATTGTTTCTCCATGTCTTAACTATTGTAAATAATGCTACAGTAAACATAGGAGTACCTTTATCTTTTTGAGTTACTGTTTCCATTTTCGGTGAGCACCTTTACCACCATTACTTTAAACTCTTTTTATCAGGTGAATTAGTTATCTCTATTTAACTAAATTTTTTCTCTGAGGTTGTATCTTGTTCTATCATTTGGAACATATTCCTCTGTTTCTTCACTTTGTTTGACTCTCTGTGTTGGTTTCTATATAGTAGATGAAACAACTACCTCTCCCAATCCTGAAGGAGGGGCATTGGGTAGGAGATGAACCTTATTGTTCAGCCCTCCCCAGCTCTTTGTTATCTCTCAAACCATCCTGCTTGTCCAATCAGTCTATTATATTTTTAGTAGATCCCAGTAGTTTAGGATGTGCCAAACCAGTCAGTATCCCAGAGGGGAGGATCTCAGTGCCTTGATTTGGCTGACTGGAAGCCAAACCCTCAGGCATCAACTTTTTAAGGTATGCAAATCGTATAGTCTTGTGGGACCACAAGTGTAAGCCCTACTGGCCACGAGAGCCAGGGGACAACCACAAAAATCAGGTTACCAGATGTATGTAAAAACTGCCTTCTGAGAGATACTGGTGGTCTGGAGCACAGCAGAGGGAGTATGTGGATATGGTGCCCACTAGTCTCTGTCCCCAGAGAGTGTTCCAACAGGCTTCTAGGTAGATGTGTTAAATAAGGCACCTGCCCTTCAGGCCAGTGCTTTAATATAAGAAGCAGGTAAGCCTCGTTCGCTTGAAGTCTGGCCACCATCGCTGCCTCCAACCTGGGCCCCAGGTGTGTGAGTCCAAGTGTCTTGGCCTTTTAAGAGCAGTTTCTCAGATCTCTAGGGTCTTATGGGTCTTGGGACACAAACCTCATTGGTTTTTAAAGTTCCGTGTTTTGAGGGCTTGTCTCTCAAGATATGTGACTTAGTATGTCCATGAGAGATGAGTTCAGGGTGTTCCTAGGGTTCACCATCCTGAACCCTGTTTACCAATAATAGATTGTGTTATTGATTTTGAGGTTAAGCCCAAACTCTGTTTCTCATCCCTTAGTAAAGGAATCAAAGACATTGGTTTGGGATGTAAAGTCACATGTTAATAAAACACAAATACTCCAAGCAGTACTTTGAAGAAGAGAGTGTAGTTTATCTCTTCTCCAGAATGCCTTTCAATAAAACATAATGAGAGGCAGTATCGCATAGTATTAAATGCAGACTCGGTTTCAGCCTTTCCGGTTGAACCATCTCAGACCCCTCAGCTCTTCGTGCCTCAGTTTCTATATCTTACAAATGGTGGGCAGTGCTTCACTGTTACTGCTGCTCTTAATGAAAGCTTTCCTGGCACCTGGCACCTGGTGAGCCTCCAGGGTTCATTCTTACTCTCGTCATCATGAAGTAATCCTCATAGGCCACACGGTGACTGTAGACATTTTATGGTATAGTTGTAGCTCACACAATATTTTTCTTTTTTAAAAGGGGAAATTGTTGTAAATGAAGTCAATTTTGTGAGAAAATGCATTGCAACAGACACAAGTCAATACGATCTGTGGGGAAAGCTGATCTGCAGTAACTTCAAAATTTCCTTTATTACGGATGACCCGATGCCATTACAGGTATGTGTTATTTGTGTGCTGTTTAGTTGTTTCAAGGATTTGACTCTAAGCAGTATGTATAATTACATAAAGCACAAGTATGGAAAATTATAGTAAAATTATTATGCAGTTAATAACATTGGGAATGTATTATATTAAAATTCAAAATAAAGTGTAAGGAGAATATTGGGACTCAAGGAGAAGAATTCGTGAGATGGTTGAGTTATCTTGCTTTTTTATTTCCTATGATTATTGCTTAGATATCCTTTCAATAATGGAGTTAGCATTTTCTTTCTTCTACATCTTTTAAACTGCTTTTAAAAATGAGGCTATCCTTTTTTTTTTTTAAGTAGTCCTAAAGAGAAAAGCTTAATTATTTAGCAAATAATTGCGTAAACACAGTGGATTTTATAGATTTCATAGTATTTTTAACTAATTCCTTTTCCAAACATCAAATTCTAGTTTGAAATTTCAATTTACTCGTCCAATTAGAATGAAGAAAAATACTGATAAAATTTTTCTTTAATAACACTCTTGCCATTTTATGGTCTCACTGGAAACCAATAATACATTTAATTTTCATTTTTAAAAATTCAGGTATTCGTTTGATTAACTTAAAAATTGTGTACTTTTTCTTGGCTCTTTTATTTTGATTTCTAAAGTGTTATATACTTTTATCCCCTAGACTTTTATTTATGATAGGAATTGTTCTCTAATCAAATATTTGGATATTAATTGTAAACTTTTGACTGAAGCGTCTGACTCTGGATACATATATTTCATATAGCTTTTATTAGTTTACCAAAATATTTACTTTATATTTGTGTGTTTATTGCAAACTATTATAGGTATATTTAGACTGAAGGCATTTATAGGTACCTAGTATGTAGACAACACTGACTAATTTGGCTATAGACTTGGGTTTTCCTCTTCGTTTTTAGATTCATTTTTATCTGTGGCTGCAGACTTCACTGTAAATGAGATGCATGTACTTAATTAAAATAGCCACATCTCATACCGCTGGTAGGGGAAATAAACCAGAGCTCTACTGACAGCTGGTTAATAGTGAGAACTATGTTCTTAGTTTAAAAATGGGTATAAAGTGTTTGTTGACAGATTAAAATAAAACGAGCTATAGTTTGCCTGAAGATTTTTATTTCTAGTATAATTTCTGCTCTAAAAATTACTTTCTAAAGAGTGATTTTCCAAAGTCTCCTTTGTAAAATCAAGCCATGATTTTGCCCATTAAAATCTGATGACTTAAGAGTACCTTTTTCTTTGTTATTTTAATGACCATCTAACCAGAGTCAGGCTTGCAAGTGGTTGCCTATGAAGTGATTGATAATATTGCATATCTTGGATATTATAAACGTATTATTGTATACAATTTAACCTCATTTCATATATAAAAGTATGGAGAGAAAGGTGGAGAGAGTGTGAACATAGCATGTGTTTCTTTTTCCTTTTCATGACTGAAGTATATTCTGAGATACTCCCTCCTTAGAACTGTCATAGTTCTGGAGACAAAAGCTTTTTGTTCTTTTCAGAGATTGTCATCATGGTAGAGTAAGGCAGTTACTACCATTTGAGGTTGTTGAGGAATAACCTAACGTGAACATAATTTTTATTTCAGAAATTCCATTACAGAAACCTTCTTCTTGGTGAGCATGATGTCCCTTTAACATGTATTGAGCAAATTGTCACAGGTATGTAGTATTCTTTATTCAGTCCATAAAAGCTGATTCTCCTCAGGAAGTATTGCTTGAAGAATCACACCTCTCAAACATTTGGGTTGGAATTTTATTTCTGTAGGTTTATGTTCTCCCCTCCCTTTTGTTTGAGTCCCAGGAATATTAATGAAAGAGAAGTCAATAAATTATTTTTTAAAACTTTTATTTATTTTAGAGAGAAAGGGAGAACAAATGTGAGCAAGGGGAGGGGAAGAAGGAGAGGGAGAGAAAGAATCTCAGAGTCCTCGTTGAGTGCCGAGCCTGACGTGGGGCTCGATCCCATGACCCTGAAATCATGACCTGAGCTGAAAACAAGAGTTAGATGCTCAACTGACTGAGCCACCCAGGTGTCCTGAAGTCGATAAATTATTTTTAAATGGAAATACAGCATATTTAGCTTTTTATGTTTTCTAAGTATTTGTCCTCTTTTAAATTAAAATTTTAAGCATTAAATGTGTCTAGATGGTGGTGGTTCTATGCAAAGATCATTTAAAATAGAGTCAAAAGTGAAGTTGAAATCCATCCCTTTTCCAAGTTCTGTAAATTGTAGACAAAGATAAAAGATACCAGAGAAGCAGTGTTTAAGTAATGGATAACCTAATTATTTTCAGTAATAATTTGTTAATGTATACTAAAGAGGGAGTGACAAAAAAGAATTTTTACACATTTTTTTCTTTATTTTTTTCCTTTTTAGTAAATGACCACAAGAGGAAGCAGAAGGTCCTAGGTCCCAACCAGAAACTGAAATTTAATCCAACAGAGTTAATTATTTACTGTAAAGATTTCAGAATTGTCAGATTTCGCTTTGATGAATCAGGTCCTGAAAGTGCCAAAAAGGTAATACTATTAAGCTTTATCAAGTTTGGGGTTTCGCACTGTATTTCCAGTATCAGTTCTGTGTGGAAGTTCTTTTTTCTCAGTTGCTCAGATTTTTTTTTTATCAGCTCCTACAATACTAGAAACTATGATGTAGAAATTAGTGTATCTTTTGCACTTAAACCATTACCAGCTGGTTTCTTTCTTGGTAAGAACTTTAGAAAATACCTTAGAATGTCCTCAACGAACTAGAAGTTAGACTTAAGTTACATAAGGGTTAGGTAAAGGTATAGTTACGGGAGAAGCCTAATAATTATTAGTACTTTAAGGAAATCTTAGTGAATTAATTTGAGAGCTATTTCACGGGAACAGCTAAAATCTAGGGACTTTTTAATTGGCTCTCTTTTTCCCCTGACTTCCGGGAATGTTTATTGCCTGCTCATGGAGTGAGTTTCATGGGCAAAAATTCCCACTTCTTGATCCCACCTTTTGGCTTTGGCAGAGGAGTGAAGCTGGTGGACATGATGCCTTACAGGTCCAGGCCATGATGCAGCAAATGCAGAGAATATAACGCTTTCCAGGAGAGGTCTGCTCCCACACACTGGGAATAAAGGAACAGTTTCTTAGTGAAGTGGAACCTTCTCTCAGAAATGATTCAGCTTTTGCACCACCCCAGAATGCTCTGGTGCTCTTGGTTTCCATGGTTAGTAGACTTACTGCAGTGAATTTTCTGTTGATATCAAAATGAGGCCGTCAAAAAATTCTTAAGGCAGCTGTTTTCATACCCTTTGGTGAGGACATTGTGGATTTATTTTTAGAACTTCGAATCATCAGTTTCCTCACAGGAAGGCAAGCGTAGATAAATATCTGAACATGCTGGACCTGGAGGACTAGATTATCTAGCAGAGTGTGGCGAGCTCTGTGGCTAAAAGTATTCAGGTATAAAACTATCTTTTGGCACGCTCCATAATAAAAAATTCAGCTAGGTAGCTGTGAGTCATTGGTTCACGTTTTGTAGGCCCCTTTCATCTGTTCAGTTCTGCAGTTTGTGATTTGGGCATTTTACTAACTTGAGATGCTTGCTCTTATAAAGAAAGACTTTAAGACTATTTAGGTAGTAGGCTCATTATAAAACATTTTAGCTGAGTTACTTTCTTGAGCTTAAATATATACGTGTAATTTAATCAGTCAAAGCATCAAGAATCTGCTTATGAAAATCTTAATTTCAGGATGCATATCAAGAATAGGGACACCATTGCATGGAGCACTGGGTGTGGTGCATAAACAATGAATTCTGGAACACTGAAATTAAAAAAAACAAATAAAAATTAAAAAAAATAAGAATAGGGACACCATAGATCTTAAGAGATTTAGGACAGGATTTTTTTTAAGTAAAAAATTGATACAGTGGCCCAATATTCTTTCAGAAATTTTCCCTCTCTCCCACTGTCAACTATATTTTTCAGATGACTCTATTTCAGTAATTGGAAATCATAATTATTTGGCCTCATTCTTGAGCCTTCTAATAAATACCTGCTGGTCATTTTTTAAGTGTGAGGTTGTGTGCTTAGTTGAGAAGATTAGAGCAGGAACACATGAAAATTGAAGACTGGTACAAAGTAGTGGCATAAAAGATGTTTTCATGTAAGTGATTAGTTGCCAAATGAATGAAACAGTTGAGTGCTCTGGAAATTCAGGATATCCCTTGTCTGTTGTGCTGCTGGTAAGTGATGAAGGGGACTGCACGGAACTGTCTACATGAAACACCCTAGTCCAACTGTTTGTGCCCTTTCCCAAGACTAGACTTTTGGCACAAATCCTTTTTCCTCTGTCTTAAAATATTAAAAGCATGTAACCTCAGGCCTGAAAGAAATGCTCTATTTGTCTTTCGTACAGACATGTTGTGGGTGGGGGTTGCAGGTGCAGAAAAGAAAATTGGAGGCAGTAAGAATATAAAGAGAATTTTTTCCCTGACTTACGTTTCAGACACAGAGGTGAGGGCATGTATGCTCCCAAAACTTACTGGCTTCATGAGTTAAAAAGAAGAATTCTAGCATATTCTTTTATTTCAAGTGAAAGTTTTCAACTAAAATTAGGTAACAGTTGGGGAGTTACAGCTTGATTTTTATCTCCTGGAAATTTTGAATGCTAAATTTTCTGTGGAAATGCTCTGATTTTATAAGTTTTAAAATGACCAGATGCACATTCAGAGTTCTCTGGTGGGTAAACCACTGATTAGCTTTGAAATACCAAAAGCATTTATATTTCTGTTTGAAATATGAAATCTTGAAATGCTAAATTGGTTCACATTTTGTTAAATATTGCTCTATAACCCTCTGGTAGTCTAGTTGGTGTTGCCTAAATTGCGATAGAACAAAGTTAGATGACACTGTGCTGCTGCATCCATTAGCGTTCATCCTCCTTATCCTGGGTCTGTCACAAGTCGATAGGATGTTTGGGACAGATCTGTATAAAGAGAAAAGGAATTTGATTTTGCAGAATTGGGTGTCTAGCCTCAAAGCAACTTGGAACTGCCCTTTCCTTTTGAAAAACAATCTCTGTTCAAAACTGAGGAGCAAAAAAAAAAATTGTTTTTAATGATTTATTACTTACAAAATATATATGTGTGTGTGTACATGTATATAAAGATGATAAGTGAAATGTATGCCCTTTATTTCTACTTTATTTTCAGATCAGTTGGTTGTGAACCACTTGTCAGGCATACTTTCTAAAAGTGAAAATTCAACCCATCTGTTTAAAGAATAGTTGGCTTTTCCTGAACTTTTTTTTTTTTTTTTTGCTTTTTTGCTTTGAATCTGATCTTACTCCTTGGTGGCTTTTGGAGCACAAAATAAGGAAACCAGTTTTGTTTGTCAGTGTGCTAGAACTTGCTGAGGTTTGAGCTTCTCCAGTGCTGCGCCCCCAGCTGGTCTTAGAGGAGAAACCAACTGTGGGCACTTTGGCTTCTGTCTGTAAGATTGTCCTTGGTCCACAGATCACTTCAGAAGTAGTTTACCTTTTTCCCTCCATAATTTAATGTCTTTAATACCAAGATATTCTTCATTCCCTATGACAGCCAGGGCAGATGAACCATTTTCAGAAGCAGTGTTTAAAGATGTAGAGTTTTTCTAAAAATTTTAATGCTTATGGAGCACGTTGCAAAATTAGAATAATTTTACATGAAAATGAGACCTACTTTTTTGAGTCTTTCAAGCTCTTAGTGACTGAAGCTAGGAATATGGACGTAAGCATTTTAAAGAGCATGTACGGAAAAGCTTGAGGGAGAGGATTCTTGGCTTTATTTCTCTTCTCAAAATGTCCTACATAACAGCATGAATGTAACCCAGATAGCTCAAGGGGTACGTGCCTTTATCTGGGTCCCCAAGAAGGCCCCCTTGCTTAGGTTACGTAGAAGTAAGTTGCACACATTTGTAATTACACTACTCAGCACCAGCTCTAGTTCAAGTTGTCCCCCTGTTCCCCCACCCCACCCCCCATCAGCCGTTGTGCAGGTGATTAACCGGCTTTGGTTCCACAGATTGTTCGTAGTCTTCTTGCATTAGAGATGCTATTAAGCACACTCATTTGTTTCCTGACCCTTTATAGATGTGGTGTGCTATTCTCAAGGGCTTTCTAAAAGTGGGCTACGTTGGGTTTGCCTAGTTGGGTTTGCTTTGTTTGTTTTTGCTCTGTGACCATAAACAACATACTCCATAATGATCTGTGAATTTCTTTTGTGTAAACAAGGCCCGTGGCTGCTTTCTAAATGTGTCAGACAACGTGATAGGCTCATTTCATTGGCTTAGAGCATTTTCCTTACTGTTAGTAAATAATTTTGTCAACTAGTATTTTTAGTGCAGCTGCTGCTGTACGCAAAGCACCTTCAGAAAGCTGCTGAGGAAAACCAAAAATGCAGAAGTCTTCAGGTCTTCACTCAGCTCTGCACATAAAGGTCTTTCCTAGTCTCCTTCTCTACATTAGTAATCTACTCCCTTCTCAACCTCACCGTAACACTTCATATCCCTCCCCCGCTGGGCTTTTTTTTTTTCCCTTTAGCTCTTAACGATGATCTCACTATCGTTTTTCTTATTTATCTTGTTGCTTCATGTCTGTCTTCCCCTTGTAGAATGTAAGCTTCAAGAGGCCGGGGATCTGCGTCTGTGTTGTTCATTGCTGCAGCCCCAGGGCTTTGGATGTGGTGGACGGGCAGGAAATACCTGTCCAATGAATGACAGAGGTAGCATCTACCCTTAAGGGATTGAGTTTAATGTTGGAAGTAAAACGAAAAACCCCTGTGCCTTTTCCATCTACACTCAAAACTATGTCATGAATACTTTGGAATTCATTCAGCTACACAAGCACAGCTAACAGAAGGGACACTTTATATCAGAGTGGTTGTTCTTCAGAGAGAACAGAAGGGTTTCTGCAGTTAATACTGTGAAATCGGCTTGGACTAGGAAGACCTGTAAAGAGATTCGAGTTCAACGAAGCTCGTAGATTCAGGGACAGCGTGGTTGGCCGAGCAGTGGAGAAGGATTTCTCAGGCAGAGTGTGGTGGGTAGGTGGCTGGGAGTAAGGCGGCAAAATATGAAATATGGGCAGATAGGTTGTTCTGACAGGAGACCACTGAGGGAACATTGGGAAAAGAAGTGATGTCTGGTAGAAGAGAGCCAGCTTGGTGAAGAATCAGGATTGAGAAGATTTATTATATTAGGCAGGTATCTGGGAACCATAGGAGGTTATCTGGGAAACACAGTTGCCGGTCAGAATTTCCTCTTTAGAAGAGACTTCTTAGGCATTGTGGATTTTTTTTTTTTTCCAGAATATAGGGAAGCTCACAGAAATGCCGAAAGGTGAGTATGGCTTAAGAATATAGCTGTGGTAGTGCAGGGAAATGGAACAAAAGTGAAAGATAATCTTGAGGAAAGTACAACAAAGCTTATAAACTACATATGGTAACCAGAAGAATAGGAAGTGGTTGAGGACTTCTTCAAGGTATGGAGGTCAGTAGTTTTGCTGCTAGAAGAAGCTCTCTGAGGAAGACTATTTGACCAATTAGGGATGGGAATGTAGGTTACTGTCTCCTAATTGCGTAACTGGGACTGTTCTAGAAGGCTTTCCTTGTAGTCAAGAAAATTGAGGTATTACATAAAAGTTTCAAGAAACTTTTGTTGTTGCTTTTAGTTAAAACTAAAACTAGTGATAAACTCCTTTTATTTGTGTATATATTCTAATTTAGTAAGATAGGAAACATTCTATAGAAGACTTTTAGTATACTTTTTAAACAAGAACTTGACACATAGTTGACGCATTAGTAGAATTTGCGTCAACCCTCCCAGACACCACTAATCAACATGGACTAACAATTAACTAAACTTTTCCTGCTTGCTCCCTGTCAGAAATATATTGTTTTGGCTTAATGCTTTTCCTTCTAAATAATATTTAATCTTTCTAAGTAAGATCTTCTCTTCTCTCCTTTCATATGTCTTAAATTTCTTCTTTCTGTTCCAATCATTTAAGAATATTTTCTTCTGCAGTCTGTCCAGGGCGTTGTCAACATAGAGCACTGTCCGTCCTTCCTTCTCTCCAACAGCAGTTGGAAATAATATCAACCATATTTCCATGTATGGAGCTTCTGCAGAGGCCAAGGCATGCATTACGATTCAATCCTTACCGTAGCCATAGGTATTATCTTCATTTTACAGTTGCACAAACCAAGGCTCAGAGAGGTGAACTGATTTTATATCATTTGCAGGGCAAGTGTTGGTAGACACTAGGATTCATGGCCTGATCTGTTCGATGGAGAAGCCCCCACTCCACCCTAGACATAGTCTCAAACCATTTTCTTAAACACAGTTGTTTGTTTGTTTTTTCTAATGTACCTCTTTGAGTCACCCTGTACTTTTGGGTTTCTTGCTAATTTTCATTTTTTGTGATTGTAACTTTCCGATTAAGTCTAGATTCCGATTAAGTCTCGATTAAGTCTAGATTAAGTCATGAGGTTATGAACATTAAAATTTCATACCTTACATTAAGCCTTCCAGATTGCTGGTATTAACTCATTACAGTCCACCAAAAATGAAACTTTTTTTAATCCTTTCTTTAGGAGTATGTATGTATCTATATCTATATCTATATCTATATATGTCACTACCTTTTTGGAGAATGCTTCTTTAGGTTTCAAGTTTTTTTATTTGAATAAAATTACTTTCCTGTTAAAATTCAACTCAGCAAGCACTTAATAAATACTTAACCATGTACTCCCTAAAGATTATAAACAGTGTCCTGGGGGCACAACATGAATGAGATACCTGGCCTTAGGGAGCTCTTTCCCATTCTAGCTTCAACAGAAAAAAACACGTAAATAAGAATCTATTTTAACTGGCCCACCCAAGATGATGCTCCCAGTAACCAAGGCCTTATTGTACATTTCATTTAAATAAGTGTGTTAAAATCAAATTCTAAATGTAGAATTTTTCCTAGGTATGCCTTGCAATAGCTCATTATTCCCAGCCAACAGACCTCCAGCTACTCTTTGCATTTGAATATGTTGGGAAAAAATACCACAATTCAGGTAAATATGAAAATATTAAATATTGTAACTAACTTTACATTGTATAAGTTTTATTATGTTTATCAGGCTTCCAAGTACATGAGCTTTAATGATTGTAGAATTATTAGCTTCATAACTGCTAGAGAATAAAGCACTATATACTAAAAGAGGCGAGATTTGTTAGATTATTTGTTAGAAAGTGACCAGGAAGAACCTGTAAGTAGCTATAAACATAGGTTTATAAGAATCGTGTTAGGTCTTTTACCGATGGTCCCTGGCTTGTATTTTACGGTCAAGAAAGCTCCCCCTCCTCCCCATTTTTAATTGATAGCTTGAGTCGAAATAGTCTCAACTTCTAAAGAAAACAGAAAATTAAAAGATCTTTGAAACGCATGATCTTTTCTGACATGGTGTGATTTTATGCAAAAGCTGAAGTGGTTAAACTTTTTAGTGGAGAGATCGTCATTGAGGTCATCAAAATACTGAATTTATATTTCTTAATAAAATTGATGAAAGGAAGAGGAGCATTTGTCCAAAGGATAAGTACATTCCAGGCAGTTTTTGTAAGAGTAAAGTAGTACTATTCATATACTTACTATGTGATTACTCAGTGATGACATCACCAAGGAAAATTCCAGATGATCATGTAATTCTGTACATTTCTTACATGCAAATTTAATTTTAATCAGCCATTTTTAAAAATCTGATAAAGGGAAGAGGAAAAACAAAGGGGTCATGTCTCATGGATTAGGGACCACAGGTTGACTCAACCTACTAAGGCACATGTTCTCCCACTATTAAGGAAGAAAAATAAATCCATTATGTATTTACAATCAAAGATCAGTTGACCCCAACATGGTCGGGAAAAGGATCTTACAAATTATTAATTGTACTGGTCTTCCATTTTATTATCTCAAAACATAACATACTATAGTAATTTAATCCATGTAATAAAAGCGTATTTGAGTATTATTATATTGTAAATACAGTAAGATGTAGGAACAATACAGAGTATCTACAGGTGCATATGGTATAAGTATATTTTCACTACTCTAAAAGATCTTTGTAAACACCATGGAGATGGTATGTGAAAGTCACGCTTTGCAGAAGGAGTAGCTCTTATCATATAGTGCTGTATTTATAGAAATGAAAGACAAAGTATTTGTAACTTAATTTTTCTTATCAAAATGTAACCAATTGTAACTTAGGCTTGAACAAATTATTTTTAAAGTTTATTTCTTAATATAAATTATACATTCACTTATTGTCTAAACATAAAAGTATTGTAGATCCTGCACTACTCATTAGGTGAATATTTCTTTGGGTCATCATCAAGCTACAGACCATGATCATCAAGGTTATTTTCAATAAGATCCTCACCCACACTTGCAAGAGAGTAGCTGAAATGAAAGTTTCAAGAGGTCCGAGAGTTCTAAGAGTCTTTGATTCCCACTTTAATTTATGATACAGATCAATTCTTGATGCGTTTTTTTTTTCTTCTAATAGAAATGATTCTGTCCAGGATATAGATTCATGATTTCTGCAGTAATGTAATGACCTGAGCTCAGCAAATGCACTAAACTTCATTATGCGTTTGGGAACCTGATGCCTGCTCTGGTTACTTCTCAGTTTTCTTCATCCATTCTTGTGGGCATCTCTGGGTTAACAATACTTTAAATAGTTATTCTACCCATAGCTCTGCTACAGGATTTTCTTATTTACATCAATTGGTTCTGTATGTCTTCTTATATAAAGCTTTGTTGATAAAGTTTGATAATTAATACTTAAAATATTCAGGAACACTTTTTTTATTACATCCTTCAGTCACCTCCTGCTTTAACAGGTACTTCATAAACATAACTCTTGGCCAGAGTTTTGTTACAATTCCTCATAGGGTAACACCCTTTAATATCCTTCCGTGCTGTTGCAGAAGCATAAACTGCATCCTTAAGATCAAAAGAAGCCTGAACTATCCACACACTGCAGTCAGAATTCATTAATTTGTGAGTGAAAGATGCCCAATAATCCACTCTTGAACTTCTGGAAACCACCTTGATTCATTGGCTGGATTAAAGAATAAAGAAGTCCTTTTTGCAGGCAGGTAGGTGACAAAGCTGTTTCCACGAATAAGATCTGGAGTTAGAGGATATCCCCTGCAGTTATCTAAGGAAAGACTCTCTTCGATGGCCTTACGCACTCTGAGGTTTTCTTCCATGTTTGGCATCCCTTGAGTGAAAACATCACTGCAGAGCTCACCAGTCATCCAAGTACTTCTGTGAGGATCCCGAAGTAAAGGGACAATGCGTAGTACCCCTAGGCTTGGAACCTCTCAGGAGGCGCTGGCACAAACACATGGTGGTTCTGGGTTCTTTCTTTCTTACCCTGAAAGAAACCACAAGGATTCTGCTTTCATCAGTCAGGCTGTTATTGGGCAGATAATGTCACAAAAGTACAGATGGACCTTTGTAATAAAATTGGTAAGATGTCAGATTATGCTTCTAGTCTGGAGAATTGAAAACCTTATGAAGTTGGGGCACCTGGGTGGCTCAGTCATTTAAGTGTCTGACTCCTGATTTCGGCTCAGGTTGTGATCTCAGCGTGGTGAGATATATGTGTATATATGGCATCAGGCGCTGCTCTGGGCATGGAGCCTGCTTAAGATTCTCTCTCCCTCTGAAGCTGCCCCTCCCCTGCTCAAAAAAAAAAAAAAAAGAAAAGAAAAGAAAACCTCACGAAGTTATCTGTAGCCTCAATGTTAGCAGCTCTTCTCCATGGCAGACACTGAGCTTGCAAATGCTGTGATATAATCTCAAGTTGTCATGTAGTCTCAGGGCAGAAAATGGTTTATTTTATTTTGTGATTTTCTCCTTTTTATTAACATAGGCCTTGGTATTAGATTTTTTTTCCATTAAATGCTTATTTGAAAACCACTTGCAGAGTACATAGTCCATTTGAAACTGTAGAAATTTTTAAAGTTTTTTGCCTGTTGGTTCTTTTAAGATTCTCCGTGTAGCTGTCTCTTGAATGCTAGTGGTTCCCAACCAGCGTCCTGTATCAGAATCCCCGGAGGAGCTTTTAGAAATGCAGCTATACCAGCTCTGCCTCAGGCCCAAAGTCCAAGTCTCCTGGTTAGAACTACTTCGTTGACTCACGCTGTTGAACATAACATCACAGCTTTGTTTTTACAAACCTTGACATCCTTCATGACTTCTGGTTCCTGCAGTATCGTCAGAGTGATAGGCTTTCTTCTCATATGTTGACCATTTTTACTCTTTGCTGTTGTTTGAGGCCATTCTAAATGTAGATGGGGCTAGTTAAGTGGAAATTCTCTGATTATTTCAGCACGGCATGGAATTAGACTTCTGAACTGTGTCACAGAAGATAGCCAAGATGGGGCACCTGGATGGCTCAGTTGGTTGAACGCATTCAGTTCTTGATTTTGGTTCAGATCATGATCTCAGGGTCCTGGGATCAAGCCCTGCGTCGGGCTTCGCGCTCAGTGGGACGTTTGCTTGAGGATTCTCTCTCTCTCCCTCTGCCCTTCCCCCCACCCCGCTTATGCACACGTGTGCGCATGCGTTCTTCTCACCCTCACTCTCTGTCAGATAAATAAATCTTTAAAAAAAAAAGAAGAAGAAGGTAGCCAAGGTCAGGAGTGCTTACTATCTGGTTTTCACTTTTAGTTGGCTGAGGAGCTGTCCTAAAACCTCAGGTAACTCTGAGGGAAGCTGGATCTTCGTAATATGACTGATCTTGCCGCTCTGTTGCTGCACGCATTAGTAATCCGCTTGAGGCACAGGCCACAGGCATCAGGCCTTTTGGACTTTCTGGAAAGTGTTAGTATTTCCAGACTCTCTGATGCCATATTAAATATCCGCTGCGCATGCTCTGAAGAAGATGTAAACATATAACCTAGCCCTAGTTGTTGAGTAATGGACAGGTTTTCAACAACCAAAACCTGTAAAATAGTGAACAGTGTAGTATCTTAGCGGTTTTCTCACCTGATCTTCAGAAAATTTGTCTTTTCGTAGTTAGACCAGACTACATCTTGCTAGAGAAACCGTCTCATAAACTGTATGTTCTCAGTAGCTTACTAAAGTCTATAACTTCAAAACACTCAAAAGTGTTCCATTCTAGGCTCCTAGCTGAGCGTATCCTGCCAAACTGTTTGCATAGATGGCTCTTTAAAATTGGTAAATGTGCTCTTTATTACTTCTTTTTTGCTGGTGGGGACCTCTGGTAAAGTGTTGACTAGTCATCAGGATAGCAGGCATCATTTCTGTTCCAGATTTTGATGAAGATGATGTTTACTCTGTGTTTCTGGTAATTACCCTTTATCAAGTAAGGAATTTCCCTTTGATTCCCAGTTTACTGAAGTTTGTTTTTTTAAATTATGTGTAGGTACTGAACTTGATCAGATATTTTTCTGCACTTTGAACTGATCATAAGGGGTTTGTTTTTCCTCTGTAATTTGATCATATGATGAATTATATCTCCTAATGTTGAATAGCTTTCTGTGGTTTTGGTGTTCTGGAACACTGTGAGTAAAGTGACAGTTGCCTGGACATTCCGTGAAGGTTCTGCCTCCCGAGAGAGAGATTACAGCTCTCAAGTTCCTCAGCAGACTCCGGTTATAGCTCCTCTGGAGAAGGCTCTGTGATGGAGTGGCACTCCAGGATATGTGCTTGGCTTTAGCGTTTTAATATTAAATAAGCTCTGCTGAAATCAGAATGACTGGGTAATTCCGATGCCACTTAAAGTATAAAATTCAGAATTCTGAACATGGTGCATAAGATCCTTTCTAATCTAGAGTAGCGCTGTCCAGGAAGGGAAATGTTCTCTCCTCTGCATTTTCTGGTATAGGAGCCTCTAACCACATGCAGCTGTTCAGCTCTGGAAATGTGGCTAGTACAACTGAGGACCTGCGTACTTTATTTTATTTTATTCTATTTCAATCACACATGTGGCTAATGGCTATTGTTTGGGGCAGCAGAGACCAAGAGTCTTGGCTCCATCTCATTTTCCAGCCTCTCTTCCACCAACCCTTGCATCCCTCATGCTCTAGCTGATATTATACAATTACACCATGTTTTTTATGTTCTGCTCTACCCAGCATGCCTACCTTCTTCTCCTCTTGCCAGCCACCTGGCAATATTGGGCTCTTCCTTAGGTCTCTGTTCAGGTGTGGTCAGGTCCTGAGGCCTCTCGTGCCCCGGCCTCCGTCTCCAGTGAGTGCCAAGGGCACCCTCCTCTGGGCTGTCGTTGCGCCTGTACATCCTGCTCACTGTGACGGGGGCCGAGCTTACCCTCCACTGTCTTGTTGGCACTTTCAAGATATAGATAAAACTGCACTCATTTTTAAATTTTCAGGCCTTAGCACATGGGAAGTTCTCCAAAAATACCTGTCTGCACCAGATGTTAATAAATGGTCCACAGAAGTGGGCATGGCATGTTCGTGGGACAGTGAAGGGGTTTCTGTGGTTATAGGGGAGCAGGGGGCTTAGGCAGTAATGAAAGGTCGGGTTGATTATCTAGGGCTTTTTAAGCAAAACCATTTAGGTTTGCTTGAGGAAGTTGGAAAATGACCATGAGGGAAAGTTTGGGACAAGGGTATAGCATCACGAAAGCACGGTTTGGGGGCAGTGGGTCCTGTAGCAGGCTACAGTCTGGTTTGAGTGCTGCAGAACATCGTGTCAGGGATGTCAGGCTAGAAACTTGCCACCACCATTGCCACCCGCAGCAGTGAGACACAGGACCAGGAAAGATTGTGTCATCGGTCACCTCAGATTGCCAAGGTAGATGAGGCTGACTGCTGAGACACTCTTTTTCCCTCTGGTCGCCCTGTTGGTTTTCCTGAGGCTATGGACATGTCACAGAGGACAGCAGTTCTCCATGAGAGAGGGCTTCTTGCTGAGGAAATTCAAGTATATGCCCTCTGCTGAAATCCCCAGATGGGAGTGGCCCTGTGGTGGATGGAGTACAAGGAACCCTTGTGAACCTATCAAAGGAAATTTGAGTAGATACAGGAGACCAAGAATTTTATAATGAACTGTAGAAAAGAGTGGGGCGTCAATATTAGAGGGATGAAAGATTTGGTCAAGAGCAGATGTGTTGGATGCATTCATTGTTCCAGGCAAAACATGTGGAAAAAATGAGCAAGGATTTGAATTTACCCCACACTTTAGGGCAGGGGGATGAGGGAGGCTTGTGAGTGGCTTCCATGAAACGATAGGGATAGAAGACCATGGAAGAGGAGAAGATCTGGGCAGCAGGCGTTGTTCGTCATTTCGGGAAGATCGTCAGTAATGGGGAGGAGGGAGAAATGTATATATAGCACAGTAGCTGGAGTGGTGCAGCTTGGTCTAGTGAAAGTCTTTTCAAAATCAAGGTGACCTATTTGTGTTTGAAGGCAGAGGAGATAGGGCCAGTAGAAGGACAGAAAAACCAACGGTTTTTCTGAGGGAGTCGGGAAAGAGCTGATAAGGACGAAACAAAATGAGTTCTTCAGAGAAGAGGAGGGCTGCCTCTTTCTCAGGACCGTTGGGAGCAGTCGGAACATCTGAGGGAGACTTGAGAGACTCGCAGGGAGGAGACGTCCCGTCCGCTCGTGTTCCTGACAGGAGGCGCCGAGAGCGGAGAGGGCATGTGGGACGAAATGTGACCTTGAAATAAAACTAATCCTACCGCTTTCTCTTGTAGCCAACAACATTAATGGAGTACCCTCAGGAGGCGGCGGTGGAGCTGGCGGGGGCAGCACCCAAAAAACTCCGCTCTTCGAAACATACTCGGACTGGGACCGGGAAATCAAGAGGACGGGTGCCTCCGGCTGGAGAGTGTGTTCTATTAACGAGGGTTACATGATCTCCACTTGGTGAGTCCAGACTTCTTATGCCTAATAATCAGCCTCTGCTCTCTGGTGACTTTCACGTTACCGTGAATGGAACATTTGTTATTAATAGTGCTTCCATGGGTGTTTTAAAGATAAGGGAAGAAGAGAGAAAGGAGGATGTATTCGGGCGCAGTGAGCCTGCCTGCTAGGAGTTGCTGTCCAGGCAGTGTCCTGGAGTCTGGGTGTCTTCTGGGGATGGAAACGGTTAGAAGGCGGAGAGAAGGAGCTAAAGCTTCTTGGGTTTATGGCTCGGGTTTGGTTTTGTCTTCTGTACCTTTTGTCCTTGCCTGTAGAGAACAAAGATGGATATGTTTTTCAGAAACCGAATACATCTTTGATTAAAAATCATTTTGGAGAATATTTCACACATCTCCTTTGGCTGTTTTCCCCTGCTATAAATATTAGTTCTGTGATAATTGACCCCATGATACATGTTTTAGGCAGAGATGTCTAGGGTCTGCCTCATCTTCCACAGTAGATGCCATGTGGCTGTAGCCGTCAAGTAGGGAACACACTAAATGGGCATAAATGTGTATATATGGCATCTGGAAAGCACATTTACTTGCCTAAAGCACAGGACTGTTGTGTCACGGTTTGCTTTTTCCTCTCCAGCCTTCCAGAATACTTTGTAGTGCCAAGTTCTTTAGCAGACCAAGATCTGAAGATCTTTTCCCATTCTTTTGTTGGAAGAAGGATGCCGGTAAGTGATGTCTGTTGGATTTCATTCACTCCGATGTCTTTTTCTTCTGCCCAGTTAAGTAAAGGCTCTGCTTCTCTCCTAGCTCTGGTGCTGGAGCCACTCGAATGGCAGTGCTCTTGTGCGGATGGCCCTCATAAAAGACGTGCTGCAGCAGAGGAAAATTGACCAGAGGTAATCAAGACACGGCTGTTGTTACTTGGGACATTTTTAGTTATCCTAAATGAGTACAGTAAACTCCTGATTACTTGAAAATAGTTGGAAAACGGCATAGTTTTATTAATTAGTTAGCAGCATGTATTCTGTACATGAATTACCATTTTGAAAAAAAATGTACATATATTAAAATTAACATTGAAGTTTATACTAAACGTAATTTAACCCTTTGGCTTGTAAGACACCAGAGGATCTTACGTTGCTGACGTCTTGCTATACCAGTGTCACCTTTAACATACTTCCAAAGTGCAGTGGTTTCCGGTCGAGATACTTCAGGATAAATCAGACTCCTCTATTAGTTGAGTCTGTCTAAGGTCTTAGAGTCACAGTAGCTTGAATTGTGTTCTAATGAGCTACCACAAACAAGTTCGGCATCTGCTGCTGAAGTTACCAGTGAGCTCCTTGTCATTAAAGCGGTGGGCACTCAGCAGGCAGCGGCCATCACTGCTGCTGTCTGCCCCTAAAGCGCTCTACCCCTGCCCACTCTCCTGCAGCCCCTCTTCCTCACTGGTACTGTGTGCCCTCTGCAGCCCTGGCTCTTTGCAGACTACCTAGAAGCTGTCCGAGGCCACTGCTTCCCATTCTCTATTTCCTTCTTCAAGAAGTTCATCTGTGGCTGTGGCTTCAGTGATCATAAAATTTATATCCCTAATGTGACATCTTCTCTGGAAGTCTCTTTTTTTTTTTTTTAAGATTTTATTTATTTATCTGACAGACAGAGATCACAAGCAGGCAGAGAGGCAGACAGAGAGAGAGGAGGAAGCAGGCTCCCTGCTGAGCAGAGAGCCCGATGCGGAACTCGATCCCAGGACCCTGGGATCATGACACCGAGCTGAAGGCAGAGGCTTTAACACTGAGCCACCCAGGTGCCCCTCTTCCATGGAAGTCTTAAAGGCCCTTTAAACTCATGCTGTCCAAACCCAGACGCCAGCACGGGCACCATGCCCTCTCCCAGCCTGTTCGCAGAAACCCAGGAATCATCCTGGATATGTTCTCTTCCCCTTCCTTCCCCACATTCAGTTCATCAAATTCTGTCTCTTCTCTTTCTCAAAATCTTACAAACCCATGTGTATCCACTCCAGTTCGACCCCCCAGTGTGTTGTCAGGGGCCCTCATGCCTTCCTGCCGTGTCTCACCAGTACCAGGCCTGTTGCTCCGGGCCCTGGCCCCGTGGGCTATGCCAGGGCTTTCCCACCTGATGTTCACTGGTGCTGTTCCTTTTCAGGCTGTCTTTCTTCATGCTTATCCTCAAGCACTCTCTACCCCACCCGCTCAGTGCTCACTCATTCTTTATATCTCCGTTTGGACATCACTCCTGAAGATAAGCTGTCCCTCACCTCCTAAGTTAGATCAGGCCTCGAGTTACACATTCTCCATGGCTGTTTTCATCGTAACACTTACTTCGGTTTTTAATTGTATATGTGTGTTAGTTTGGTTACTGCCTGTCTTTGCTACGAGGCTGTGGGCTTGTGAGCTAAAGGGACTACATTTTGGACACCGTCATGCATTCAGCACTCAGGAAATACCTGCTGTATCAGATACTTCTTCAATACTTACAAAATAGATGAGGAACAAAGGAACAGATCTTTGAAAACTGGCTCAGAGAGCCTCAAATTGTATATTACACACTATTACTGGTACAGCCAGCCAGATGTTAGGGTTTTTTTCCACACTGCCATACCTAAGAAAGCCATGTTTGTTGAAGCAAAGAGCCGACAAGTGACCCTCAAAGGACCCTTCAGGTTTCTGGAAAGGAGGGTGACTGCCTTCACGTAATCTCTGATGGATTTTTTACCTTGGTCATGTTGAACGTGACCTGTCTGTTGTGTCATGCTCCGAGGCCAGCGTTGACTGCCATGTCTGGCTCCTTAAGTGCTCAGGAAGGGGCGCGGCTATTAGAGGGAAGCCTGCAGCACTGCTGAGCCAGGGTTCTTTCTAAACTCTTACAGCCAGTGGCACTTTTATCTTTTAACTTTATTAAGCTGCAGATTGTTTTAATTCCTTTGTTTTCCCAGCTCTCCCACCCTTCATAAATAAGACAGATTCTCTTCGTTGTCTGAGCTCTCTCCACCCCCTTTTCCTTAGACTCGTGAGCTCAGCCCTACTGGCCTTCTCTAGGTTTCTCCACAGCCGAGCTTGTGTCCACCAGAGGACCTTTGCCCTTACTGTCCCTCTGCCTAGAGCACTTACCCACAGATCTTAAATGGCTTGTAGTCATTTGGGTTTTCGCTTCGGTATCATTTTCACAGAAAAGCCTTTCCAACCACATGACCTGAACTTGCCTATATTCATTCAGTGACGCCACCATGGCCTTCACGCCAGCCTGTTACTTGCTCATTTATCCTCGCATCACCAAGCATAGAAGCCCTGTGAGAGCAGAGGCCCCACCAGTGTCATTCGTCTGTCTCCAGCCCTTAGAGTAGTGCCTTAGCTCATAATAGGTGTTCAAAAAATATGTGTGGCATGAATGAATGACTCAAGGATTTTGTCTTTATTAGGATTTGTAACGCAGTAACTAAAAGTCATCCACAGAGAAGTGATGTTTACAAATCAGATTTGGATAAGACCTTGCCCAATATCCAAGAAATACAGGCGGCTTTTGTGAAACTTAAGCAACTATGCGTTAATGGTAATTTCATTTGTGTGTGTGTGTATGTGTGTATATATACGTATATGTATGTATGTATATAATGAATGGGGGTTACAGCATTGCATGAGGTATGTCAGAAAAAGTTATATTCCTTGAAAATACACAAATAGACATATTTAAGTTGAGGCTCATTGAAATATCTATACAAATCATTATATGTGACAATAGCAGAAGCTCTTAGAAAATGAGGTGTTTAAACTGCTTTTTGTTTTGGAGGAAAGAAATAAACCAATGAAATCACTTTCAAAGCGTGAACTGTCATGGTAGGATCCTTTGGTAAAAGTGCCAAGGAGAACAGTGAACTACCTTCCAGACAAACGTACTAAGATTTTAACGCAGACAGTTACATTGTGAGATATGGAACTTGACACGGATTTCAGACAGAGCCGTGTTGTAATCTGTGTGGCCTCGGAGTTCTAATCCTGTGTTTGAGCAGGTGCTTCTCAGGTGCTTTCAGTGTGTCTCGGGGAGAGGGTGACTCACGGAAGCGTCTTTGGTGTGAAGTGAGTCCTTCCTGAAGGGTGCCCAGAGAGGGCCCCTTGTTACCCAGGAGCCAGGAGAGGCAGCCACTGGGGCAGGTCTGCAGTGGCGAGGGGGCACTGGCCTGGAAGGAGAGCTGGCGGGGTGGGGGGAGTGTTAAAAAAGTACAGTGACATGAATGATTTTCGGCTGTCTGATGGAATGTGACTAGAGCCTGGAGTTCGTGAGGTGAGAGACACCTGGAGACAGGCCGGGCAGGACTGGGGAGGGCATGCAGGCCCTGCCGGGAAGGTGTCCTCGTTCCTGCCGTGGTCACAGACACCGTGTCGTGGGAGGCAGTGCGGGCGGCAAGGGAGGCGGAGAGAGGCAGGGAGGGCAGGGTTTGCCGGCAGGAAGCTGTGAGTGCGGGCTCCAGATTCCAAGCTGAGGCTCCCCAGGAAAGCAGGAAAGCGAGAACCACTGGCTCTTAGGAGGCAGAGGTGCTGAGACTGTCCAGAATTTCCCTGAAAGCCAGAATGAAGGAAACCAAGGCCCAGGGAATCCTTGTTTTGTTTTTTATAGGCTTGTACCATGTCTCTTAACGTTTATATTGTTAAATGAAAATGCATAATATTTTCTTAAAGCCAGCTTTTAAATATGAAAAACTGTGATGTGTATCACTTAATTCTGATAGTGGTCACATAAAGTTCTTTAAAATGCCTAACCATGTATGTGTGTATAACTACCATATTTATTGCAGAGCCTTTTGAAGAAACTGAAGAAAAATGGTTGTCTTCACTGGAAAATACTCGGTGGTTAGAATATGTAAGGTTTGTACAGCCACTTTCTTTTTTTGAACTTAACTTTTTTTATTTTGAAATAATTACAGACTCACAGGAGGTACAAAAACAGTGCAGTGCTCCATTTACTCCTTACCAGCTTCTCCCAGTGGTAACATCTTCCATACCTAGAATATGGTGTCAAAACCAAGTGGCACGGGGCGCCTGGGTGGCTCAGTCGGTTAAGCGTCTGCCTTCTGCTCAGGTCATGACCTCAAGCTCCTGGGATTGAGTCCCGCATCAGGCTCCTTGCTCTGCAGGGAGCCTGCTTCTCCTTCCTACTGCTCCCTCTGCTTGTGCACTCTCTCTCTGTCAAATAAATAAAATCTTTAAAACAAAACAAAACCACACCCGAGTGGTACAATGTATAGGCCTTATTCAGATTTCACCCATTTATACATGTTTCCGTGCGTGCGTGCGGCGGTCTGTGTATCTGTGCGCATATAGATCCCTGCAGCTGCCACAGTCAGGATAGAGACCTGCTCTGTCACCACAGGGCCTCCGTGCTGCCCCTTCAGAGTTGCATCCCCACCCCTGTCCCTGCAACCACTGATCTCTGTGTTTTGTGATTGTGATTTCAAGAATGTCATGTAAATCGGGGCGCCTGGGTGGCTCAGTGGGTTAAGCCTCTGCCTTTGGCTTAGGTCGTGATCTCAGGGTCCTGGGATCGAGCCCCGCATTGGGCTTTCTGCTCAACAGAAAGCCTGCTTCCCTCTCTCTGCCTGCTTGTGATCTCTCCCTCTCTGTCAAATAAATAAATAAAATCTTAAAAAAGAATGTCATGTAAATCAATCCCCTTTTTATAAAAGGGTGAATGAGTTTCCCTGATTAAAAAAATCAAAAGATACTCTGTTGAACAATCATATAAATACTGATGAAATTCATAAAGGTTATTGAGAATACAGTATAGTAGAAGATTAGGTGTGTTTGATTTCATACATTTTTAAAGGAATATTTATAGTGGAAATCTGATTTTTTGACAGTATTTTTCCCTTTCTCTTTCCAGGGCATTCCTTAAACATTCAGCAGAACTCGTGTACATTCTAGAAAGCCGGCATCTCTCTGTCATCCTACAAGGTAATTCATTACCAGTGACACTGGTCCCCGTGCCAGGAAGCTCGGTGACTGTCTGCAGTCCATTCAGTCACATGACTCCTAGCCATCTCTTACTGTCCACAGCGCCACCAGACACTACAGCTTCTGCACCTCAGTCGAGGACAGCTGTGGTCCAGCGGCAGCAGACAGAGGAATAGAAGGGAGTCTACTTTTCTGCCCTGTGTTAAACCTTCCTTCCTGTAGCATGAGAAGTGTGGGTCACAGCTCCCGCTGGAGTCGTACAAAGTGTTAATCTTGGCAGAGCGTCCTTTCTCTCTAATCTTACGACGTTTTGAATTCATACAGATGGCAGTTTAAATGCCTTTGGATCACGCTGGATTGGACTCTAAAGAAAGAGTTGGGTGTCAAAAAATCGAGTTGAATAGCCAATAATGTAAAGTTTGTCTGATGTTTAGGAGCAGTATAGTACAGTATAAAAATATGTCAGTTAAGCAAAGGATAATTATATGTGAAATAACTTTACAGCTAAAAGAATTTCTAAGCTTACCAATGATGAAGTTTCATAAACCATGAGCTGCCTTAGTTGATGAATACGCTCTGCTACTAAAGCTTACAGAAGTATTTTTACCAACTGTCGAATTTAACTGACTTGAGCAAAGTAAAGATATTTAAAACCTTTCGGGGGAGAAAAGAATAGTGATGCACTATTTCAAGTAATCCTTAACTGATGCAGTCAGAGTTATTTAATTCACAAATGCATGCAGAACCCAGCAACCCAGTAATCTGTCCTCTGAGCCTGTGGGTGTTCTTACCCTACTGCAAAATCCTACTTCGCGCATGTTTTGAAGCATTTGTTACAATACAAAAGGCTTAGAAGAGATACCGAGCCTACATTTTACTAACACTTTTATTTTGCAGAACATGTTTTTGAAATAGGTTATTATTCACTTAGTGTAAAATTCGCCAATTCTGAGTGTAGAGATCAATATTTTTTAGTAAATATACAGAGTAACTGTAGAGTTCAGAGTCCAGTTTTAGAAGTTTTTTATCACACCAAAAGGATTCCTTGTGTCCCAGCCCTAGACAACCATTAGTCTGCTTTCTATTTCTGTAGATTGGCTCTATCTGCATGTGTCATGGAAACAGTCATACAGTATGTGATCTGTTGCTTCTTGCTTCCTTCATTTAACATACATGTTTTCGGGGTTCATTCATGTAGCATGTAGCATGTTTCTTTTTATTTCTGAATAGTGTTCCTTTGTCAGTACCACATTTTATTTATATATTAGCTATTGATGGACATGAGTTTATTTCCATGTTGTCGCTGTTATGAATTATGCTGCTGTGAACATTTCTTTAAAAGTCTTCATGGGGACATACTTGTTTATTTCTTGTGGGTGGGTGCTTAGAAGCGGAATCACTCAAGTCTAGGAGTTAACCATCCTTAAAGAATGACATTGGTTGTGGGTTTTCATAGATTCCTCTTATGAGGTTGAAGTATACCTGTATTCCTCGTTTGATGAGAGTTTTTATCGAGAATGAACTTTGAATTTTGATCACACACACAATTTTTATGCATCTAATGAGATGATTATGTTATTTCTATCATTGATTTTATTTATATGAAGTGTTACTTTGTTAGATGGATGGTAAACCAACCTTGCATTCCTGGAATAGATTCTTGCATTCATGAGATAATTGACTTGCTCATATTTTGTTAATGATTTTATAATCTAATTACAAGGGATACTGGTAGACATTTTTTTTTCCTGATTTCTTTGGCTGGCTTTGATATCAGGGTATTTACTGGCATTATTGAAATGGATGCAAACTATAAAAGATGGGAGGAAAATGTTTGCCACCTTTTCAGGTGATGGTGGACTGTCCCGTCCCCCTCATTCACTTCTGAGTCACCAGATGGAGTTGACAATAGAAAGAGTATATTTAATGTTCTTAGGAAATAGAAGTAGAACAGACTCATGCAAGATTTCCACCACAAATCACTGAAATGTAAAAAGTGTGATGACTGTGCTGTTTTCTGGAAAATATTCATATATAAAAGACTATCTCCCATTAGACACTAATTGATCTGAAAGTCTGTAATGTTTTAGAGTTGCTGGAATCCAGTGAACTTTCCTAACTTGGATTATTTTGAAGGCAGCCTAGGCAGAGAGTAATGTATTATCCACTTTATTCTTTCTTCCCCTTCTCTCAGCATTTTTCTAAGTAGTATTCATTTTCTTTCCATTTTCTTGACAGAGGAAGAGGGAAGAGACTTGAGCTGTATTGTAGCTTCTCTTGTTCAAGTGATGCTGGATCCCCATTTTAGGACGATCGGAGGATTCCAGAGTCTGATCCAGAAGGAGTGGGTCATGGCCGGTTATCAGTTCCTAGACAGATGCAACCACTTAAAGAGATCTGAGAAAGAGGTAACAGAATCATAATGCTCCCTGGGAGGGAGTCTTTAAGTGTATACAAGATAAAATTCATGTCATCCTGTGAAGGGGTGTTCTGTCTGTATAGAGATGAGGAGCCTTTTTTAAATGTTGCATTTGGTACCTCTTAGCTTCTTTAGTCTAAGGCTAGTGATGGATTAGCATCCAAATTGATGCACTTAAAAAGATGACTGTAACTGTAGAAGTGAAATTCAAAAAAAAAAACTGTTGCATTTTTCCCAAGTTGAAAACTACTTGAAAAAATGCTGTATTATCTCTTCTGTAAAGCAGGTAATGAGTACGTTAGGTATTTTGAAAAATCAGTTTTGGAATATCACATTTTCTTAAAATGGGGCCTATGTGTGGAGAATGGAAAGTTGGAGAGGGTCATCTTTGTGAGGGCTGTGGGCATTGTGAACGGCCCCGCACTCCTCTCACGGATGTGCTTGTCGTGGGGAGCGCAGCCTGACTCGCGGGCTCTCAGTTTCACCACCACCTTCTGAGGAAATCCCAGCAGTGACTGCTTCACTTTTAAGTTGCCAGGACCCCGAGATACAATGGCTGTCTTCAGCTGCTGGACTTGGCGACCCACCATATGACCGAGAGACTGACGCCAACCGCATCCTGAAACTCTGCCAAGTTTTCTGGATGCTGAGCCTGCACAGTCCACCAGAAGCGAATACAGAAGTCGCTTTTTGCTTTGGGATTATTTTTTTCTTTTTTTCAGTGTTCTAAAGAATTATTTCCAGGGCAGGCTTCATCACATCTTTTAATGTCCCCCATTCATACAGTGCCAACCTGTCTGTTGACTTTGCCATCTTCGGCAAGGAAGGGCTGTGATGTTTATGGCAGTTGAACCTACTTCTGAGCTTTGACAGAAGCCTTGTTTAACCTGCCTGCGTAGCCTTGGCTCAGCTTGGGAGCTTAGTGTTTTAGGCTGAGGGGTTTTCTTAGTAATCTCTTCCTTAATGTGAGCCATAAATTTGGAAATAAATGGGAACAGTTGAAGGCCAACATTGAATGATCCCATTTTCTCTCTGTGTCTGCCAGTCTCCCTTATTTTTGCTGTTTTTGGATGCCACGTGGCAGCTGCTAGAACAGTACCCGGCGGCCTTCGAGTTCTCAGAGACGTACTTAGCAGTGCTCTACGACAGCACCCGCATCTCCCTCTTCGGCACCTTCCTCTTCAACTCTCCTCACCAGCGTGTGAAACAAAGCACGGTAAGTGATGTGTGGTCATAGCAACTGCTCGGTTTGTCTTACAGCTTTATGGAGGTAGAATTAAAGTACAGTTAGCTGCATGCTGAAAATACATCAATTAAAACTGTCTTAGCTACCATTTTAAGCTGCAGTTTCTGAATGAATTATTTAAAGACATACAAAATGTAGGAACCTGTTTCATTTTTATGAGTGAGCACGTTAGGTGTTTTTCTCCGATGTACGCTGTTCATAATAAACCAGTTTTTAGGGGCGCCTGGCTGGCTGAGTCGGTAGAACATGTGACTCTTAATCTCAGGGTCATGAGTTCAAGACCCTTGTTAAGCATGGGGCTTACATAAAAGAGAGAGAGAAAGAAAAAGAAAATGTGATATGTAACAATTTTTAAAAAACAGTTTTTAAAAATGTAAATTATTTTAACCACTGTACATGTTGTACTTTTATATTTATATTTTCACATTTGGGCTGTCCGGATCAATAATTAAAAAGGTTCTGCTAGAGGACTTTTATTTCCTGGAATAAAGGTTGTACAAAGCAAGATTATTTTCTTTAAGAGTTGTTTGGGAAGGACTGTCAGAGATGAAGGGTCCCATGGTGCTAGACTGAGATTCTCAGTGGGTGCTGGCGTACCAGGTAATCTCAGAATCCATGTCACCTGCCACACAGCAGTCCTATTGGGGTAGGATTATCAGTTTCTAGTCACATTTCATTGACCTAGAGGAAGAATCGTGACTAAGGAGGATCTCAAGCCAAGCTTGAGAATAACTTCTGATTGCCATTGGTAGAACCTTCCGGAACCATTTCTGGCTCACCTACATTTGAATCAGCAGTGGGAACAGCTGGTATATGCTGTGATAACCATTGAGAGAAACAAAAAGGGCAGCTCTTGTGGGCCTCTCGGAAGACTTTCTCAGAAGGAGGTTGCTGTCTTGGTGAGGGGTAGGGTCCTCAGCCTTGGCAGTAAGGCCTTCGAGGGGCCAGGCGACGTAGCCTGGATTAACATGAGTCCCGCCCAAGGTCCGGGGGAATGGTGAGCCCAGGTTTCCTCATCTGTAAAAATGAGACTCACCAGACTAACAGTATTACCTTTGGCCCCATTCTGTGAATTGAAAACATTTTGTAGACTGTGAAGCATTATGCTGCACTGTTTTCTAAAGAAATGAATCGTTCTAGATGTGGATATGAAAGACAAAGTGCACTGGACATTTGAGGAGATGATTTTATTCAGGCTGTTGTAATACGAATAGGAAGAACTTTATAAGTGAGGAACACCCCAAAGTAAAGGAGGAGACCTGGAGGCTTATTACAAGAGACAGGAGATGTGAGGGAGCAGGTCTGGGCTCAGAGTAGGTGAGCCATGTCTCAGTGGTGCTGCTTTCCAGGGGCTCAGGGTTGGAGAAACTTAGCACTGTCATAGGGTATTTATTTTAGGTTGGAGAGTTGGGAAGGAGATTTTCATAAAATATATTCTCTGCTTCCCTAGAAGAATGTAACCTATCCCAGTCCCATGCTGAGACCAGCAGTGGGCTTGGGCTCCTGAAGTGTGGTGAACTCTGTTCCTAAACTAATGGACTCCGAGTTGCTCCTTGTTTCTTGTCCACTGGCCGTCATCCTTGCTGGGCTGTGGTGGTACTGTGCCTGGCACTGCTTGCCTGCCCTGGTGCTTCTCCCCTCCTCTCCCTTCACTGTCCCGCGAGCACACCCGTACACACACACACACACACACACACACTACACACACGTGAGCCTTCAAAATGTACATGAGGCTAGGAAATGAGACAGCCTTGTTAGACGGTAAAACCTTGCATGTAAAATGCCAGTACGTCAGCCTGGCGGTCCCCGTGACCACCGTGCTTTGGGTATGTGGGGGTAGGGGGGGCTCTGTGGAGCCCAGGTTGGCCTCCTAGAGACAGTCACTCCTCCCCCCGCTTCTTGGCTGGATTCTGGGTGTGCCGACATAGGTTTACAAATAGATTTCTATGGAGGAATAAAAGTTAAATATTTTTTTAAACTGTATCATCTGTTTTTCCTGGTCTGTCCTCCAGTGCTATATTTTTTTAACTTGGCTTTTTTCAAAAGCTGTTTCTGGCAAGCACTAACATCGGATCCCTCCTGCCCTCAGTGCTTTATTATTCATGATTTGATCTTACAGCCAGACTACAGGCCGGCAGTGCCGCCTCTGCCTTCCCTGGGAAACTGACTGTTGATTTGAGGTCCTGATTTTTAGCACGACTGCTGTTCTCAGTCCCTTCTACAAAGACTTTGCCTTCTTTTCTCCATTCTGAGGCCACCTTAGATGCTCAGGTTCAGGTACTATTTGTGGAAAATCTAATCTTCCTTGGAGATATTTTTAGTTTCACATTAAAAAAAAAAATGACTGATTCCTATATATTTTCCTAAGTGGGCCATTAAAACAGGTTAGGGTTTATGTTTTATTAGATTTCAACTCTTAACAATAGTATTTTTTTAAAACAAACTGATTGTTTCTATATGCACATATATGATGAAATCTCAAATAACTAAAAAAAATTTCTTTTAATATATTTGGTGCTTAGTGGGTTCAGTTTTACTCATTTGAAATAGACAATGTTGTAAACTGTCCTGTGCTGTTAGATAGCTTACCTGTTTCTGGCTGGCACCAAGTCGACATCGTGGGTCACACCTGGTTACACCTGTGGCACGGAGCTGGCCTCCTCACTTCAGCGCTGCTTTTCTGATGACACTTAGTCTTTGCCTTTTTTTCTAATTTCCAAAGAAACTGGTTTTTTGGAGAATACTGAAAGGTACACAGAAAATAAGAATCCATCGTCTCCCACCATCCAGAGAATCGGTATCTTGAGATATTTCCTCCAGAGAGCTAATAATCTGCATAAACCTGCTTTTGTCACTCAGCCGAGATGAGGGTCATGGTTTGAGATGCTCCTCACCTCCTCCACGCAGACGCAGTGGGCTGTCAGCCCGCAGCCTAGTGTCGCTGGCTCCCCGGGCCCCGTGAGCCCGGGGAGCAGGTGGTCCGGCCTCCATGCATGGTCTTCATGGTCTTGGCCAGACACCAGGACTGTGCACAGTGTGGGGGGTGGCTTCCTTCCTCGCTGCTCCTGGGCTATGGTTTGGATTTCAAAGGTCACTGGGTAAGTGCAGGGTGTGTCTCCACTTAGAAAAATGGGGTAAAATAGATGCCAGTGATTTCCATCCGAAGATTGTCTTGCACATCCATTCGCCAGTAAATTTGTAAGTGTACCATCGTGTGCTCAAAAAGTAAAATGCTCCAAGTGCAGAAGTAACCGCGACATGTTTCAGACTCTGTGGTATCATCTCTGTGAAATTTCAATTCTAATCACATGCTCACTGCTCGGAGGCCCCGCTTCCTTGGGGTCTTCCAGGAGAAAAGGCCCTCTGCTCGCAAACACAGCATGTGAGGTGTCCCTCTGAGGCACGGAGCCAAGAATATCTCTTCTCTCAAAGCAAAACATGCTGCCCTCGGGGAATAGAGTTGCTATAGTCCAAAAAATTCAGCTTAAATAGTGATGAGTGGCTCATCACAAAAAAGGAATGTATTTAAGAAAATCATTTGACATCTTTTCACAGATGTTCAAATATTTTATTTTGCAGGAATTTGCTATCAGCAGAAATATCCAGTTGGGTGACGAAAAGGGTTTAAAATTCCCCTCCGTTTGGGACTGGTCTCTTCAGTTTACAGCAAAGGATCGCACCCTTTTCCATAACCCCTTGTACATTGGAAAGAGCATGCCTTGTGTGCAAAACGGTTCTGTGAAATCTTTCAAACGGACAAAGGTAAATTACAAAAAGGCACTGACGATAAAAACCTGGTGTCTTCCCTTAACGACAGTGCCAGAACAGATTCTGAGGGATCATTTGCTTTGTACCTGAAATAACCCTGCCCCGACTTTTCTTCTTGGCGACTGAAGGCCACAGAGCTCGCTCAGCCTCTGGGATTTAGCAGATAGGAGCTCTGAGCCTGGGAGGCCCCATTCCTGAAACCCGTCCGCTTGCCTGTTCTTTCTAGAATGAGCCAGGTCTGCACTTTTTCCTAACTGAGAAGTCTTAGAAATTTGCATTTAAGCAAATTACTGAACAGGATGTATCCCCTCCCCACCCCCATGCAGGCAAGTGCTGAGAGCCAGAGTCCGTTCCTAAAAACGTGGAACTCCAGTGGAGGAGGATCGGGATGAGTATTACAGGGAAGGAACAAAATGTTCTTTATGGCCACAGTTCCACCATCTCTCATAGTACTAGGCTTCTGTTTGCCACTGCCTCTTTACTGTCTTTCCAAAAAGGGGAGCCCAGGAGAAATAATGCGAAACCCTGTCTTCTGCACAGAAAAGCTACAGCTCCACTCTGAGAGGAATGCCAGCTTCCTTAAAGAACGGAATCATCGGTGACCAAGACTTAGTTCCGAGGAGAAATTCATTAATATTAAAAGCAAAGCCTGACCCTCCTCAGCAGCCCGACGGCCAGAGCAGCGGGATGGAGCGGTACTTCAGGGAGTGGTTTTCCAAACCAGCCGACCTGCACGGCGTCCTCCTGCCGCATCTCTCGGGGACACACGTGAAGCTCTGGAAACTCTGCTACTTCCGCTGGGTGCCCGAGGCCCAGATCAAGCTCGGGGGCTTCATCACTGCCTTTCGTAAGCTCTCCCTGCTGGCCGACGAGGTGGACGTGCTCAGCAGGACGCTCCGGCAGCAGCGGGCTGGGCCTCTGGAAGCCTGCTACTCGGAGCTGGACAAGAGCAGGATGTACTTCCGGGCCAGCGGCCCGCACGATGCCTCGGCGACGCCCGACTTCCTTTCCTCCTCCTTCCCCTTCTCCCCCGTAGGCAACCTCTGCAGACGAAGCATTTCAGGAACACCATTAAGCAAATTTCTAAGTGGGGCCAAAATATGGTTATCTACTGAGACACTAGCAAATGAAGACTGAAATGTACTATTTTCTGAACATTTTGAGGGCAGCCATAAACTTGCCCTCTGACTTAAAATTGCTAACCTAGGCATTTGAGGCTCCAAGAATTTTCTATGTCAGAATAACAGTTGAAATTTGCACTAATATTTAAAAATATGTTGAATTGTGCGTCTTTCATAATTTTTTTTTAAAAAATAGGCAGAACTTTTCTTTCTTATGGCCTCTTTTTTTGTCATTTCAGGCCTAGCTTAGTTTTAGGTGATCTGTAGGCAGACATTCCCCCACTCTTAATACTGTGAGCAAACGAATCAGGTTTTGTCTGTGGCATTTATTTTGTCCGCATCCATTTTCTCCTGCCACCTTCTAAAGGTTACCTGGTCCTCAGGTGAGCACCCCAAAGAAGCAGACACCAGGAAAGCTAAGAAATTAATTTTAAGTAGATTTTCAAGATGCATCCGGTAAGCGCCCCCCACAGGCGTTAGGTGGTATTTGTATATTTTTCTGGTCACTTGGTTCTCGCTAATGGAACTCACCTGAGGGTTCAGTATTTCCAGGGCCATAATTTATTGGAGGTCACCTTGTTTGGTACCGTAGATCACTGTGTTTTAAAATCATGAGTTTGCTTTTACCTTCATAGGACTAATATGCACTGTTGACTTTAAAAGATTTGCTGTAGATAATACAAACTTAGAAGTGCCTTTGACATTAATATTAATTAAGGTATGCATTAACACAAAGTAAAACACAATTTCAGTTTTTAAAATTAGGGTGTTAAAAGCCTACATATTAGAAACAGGTTTCTCACCACTGAGCTTCATACCAATAGCCAGGAGTTCCCAGAACTATATTTCCTTCCCTCTGAAAGTCAGCGAGGACACCGCGGTCCTGTGGGGAGGACCAGGTTGGTGACAGCAGGAGGGGTGAGTGCTGTCCATGTGGAAATCCACCCTCACAAATAGAGGTCTTGCTCAGGCATTTAGGGCATTGCCCATCAGAATTTCCAGTGCGGTTAGCTGTTGCTGACACTTTTCCCTTGGAAATCGCTAATGAGGTGGTGAGTCTGCTCACCTGTACAGAAGGCCCTTCTCCCACGGACAAAGTTCTTAGTGGTTAGGTATGGCCAACAGGACAAATAAAAGGGTACTCCTCTTAAAATACTGCTCCTTAACGTGGAGAGAAGCCCCCAGCTCCTGGCCTCTGCCAGCAGTATTGCGATGGAGAAGCACACAAAGGTGTGTGTCGGTCTGGTTGTGGGACAGGAGCCCAGGCCACACGGTGGGGGCCCCGAGCAAGGCTTGAAATGGCAATGGCGGTCGGCGCCACACCCTGGTCCCTGTTTATGGGATGGATGTTTTCAAACTGGGCGGTTACTTAGAGTTTCTTAAACTGCCACCTTAAGCTTTAAAGAAGTTTTATAGTGAAGTGGTTAATCTTTTCTAAAACAAGCTTTTTTCGAAGCCGTATTTTACTGTTAATGTGTAATGAGTAGCTGTTTCTATTTGAATTATTCTTTTTACAAATGATACCTCTGGACTTCAAGGACAGAAGGTTTCAGAAAATGCCTTAAGAAATTCATCTTGTGGCTAAACCCAATGTTTTTGCCAGCTTGTTGCCTAGAAGATAAGGGCTTTTTTTCAGTTTATATAAAAAAATAGCACTGTTGCCATTAAACATTTTATAGTCCTTGATTGGAAACCAGTCCCAATCCCCTTAAAATCTCACAGCGTGTCCTGCCTTAGAAAGTGTAATAATTCTCCCTTTTTGGTTAAGCTGCCTTTTTATTATTACAGATTATCCTAAATTGGGGGGTGCTGGAGAGGGATTGTTGAACATTTATTTCTTTATACTTCTCTTTCCTCACACATTTATTTCAATCCCTTTAGCAATTTTTTTGTTGTTAATTTACAAGCTTAAAAAAATTAGGTACTATTAATACTGTTTTAAAATAGAAAATGTGCATATTTTTGTATGATAATCAAATGTACTAAAAATGGTTTTTCATTTTATTTTTGCTGGACAGTTGTTATATCATGATTATTGTGCCACAATTTACCGTGCATAATATGAAGAACAACTATACCGGCTTTAAGTCCTGGCTGTCGTAGAGCTGCCCGGCACCTGTGCTGGCAGAAAGGCAGTGGTGGTGACCGAAGTCTCGTGTGTGGTTATGGACGCCGCGCTGAAGAGCGCCTCGCTCTCCGGCCCCTCTGCCCTGCGAGCCAAGTGTGTGCCGACCGGACGCCACGCGGCCCTCATAGCTTGGGACTTTGTAGTACTGAACTGAAAGGTGTACAATGTCTTACTGTTATTTTATGATGGAAACCAGTTTTAAAACCAAAAATGTCTTAACTTTATTTAAGAAAAGTTTATTAATTTGTGCTAACAGAGGGTTAAAATTCGTCTGCGTACTTTCAAGAAAACCTGCCTGCCGTAGCAGTAACCTCAAGTAGTTAGAACTTGATTTTGAGAGAAAACTAAAAACCTTTGTGCCTAAAATTCTGACTTGAGTTAAAGTAGGATGAGCAGGAAGTGAGAGATCTTGTTCAACAGTGATGAATGTGAAGGAAATTTTGACTGCTAAATAAAATTTCCACAGAAATTGGTTGCTGTAGTTATCAATACAAAATCATCTACAAGAATGCAGTGATTCAAGAAGCGAAGGCATTTTCTTCCAACAATACTTGTGTGGGCTCATCCACTCCCATTTTTTTGCCTGCTCTAATCAGAACTGGCTATAGTTAAGACCATGTGGGTATTAATGGACAATGCCCTAACCTGTCCTTCCATTCACTAAATTACCAAGCTGGGGAGTAACATTTCCCTAAAAATGTCTCCGAACTAGTCTGGGGGGAAACTGGGGCCCCCATCCCGGACTCCTGGTCCTATCATCCTGGTTAGTTGCCTTCCTACCATAGACCTTCCTTGGCTTAGAGATCTTGGGAAGAGCCCTACTGCAATTACACCGTCTATATAGAAAATTGCCCCTCTAGTCATTAGGTTAGGGATGAAAAGGGACAGTTGCCTTTGATAAAGACTGTTCATTCCTTTGATAATCTAGGCCCAATTAGTAAGAGCAAGTTAAAAGTTACAGAACTTAATGAGAATTTATTTTTAATTCCCAGAGAAAGAATTTGTGCCCTTCTTTAGATAATCCTAAAGCAAGAATGTTCAACAGCTGAGTGTATCAGGGCAGTAGAGAAAACCTTAAATTCAGGTCTCTCCAATGTACTTACTAGAAACATCAAGAATGTTATTTTTATGAAAGACCAAAAGCTGTGAAACATCCCACTTGTTTGGTTTTTTTCCCAGCTGTTTTGCAAGTCTAGTTTAATAACGTAGATGCATCCATTTCCTAAAATGGCCACCAAGGTACTGACCTTCTAGAAAATTCATCACCTGCTCTGTGTGATCAGTGAGTACATTTGAGCCAAGACCAAGTTTTATGACACACAGACACTGTACAATGATGGGTCTTAAACTCTCAGGTTTATTACTGACATGACAAAATCAAAGTTAAATAAAATGTAACGATGCTTTATACTTTTGAAAATCAATCCATTTGTCTCCAGACACCCCCAACTCCACAGCTTAGTTAAGTGAGGCTTTTGCTTTTAGCTCCAATGGCAACCACGTGGCAGACTTCTACCTCAGCCCCCAGCTTCTGCAGTTCATCCAACCAGAGCATTTGCTTATGTGAAAGACGATCGTTGGGGCCTTTAACTTCCACCAGCTGGAATGTAAGTTTTAAAAAAAAAGTTATTAGTATCTTACTGAAACAACAGCCACGTATGCTATAGTAGTTTTCACCTATACTGCTCTACTTACATATATAAAATAAAGATACATGTATGGAACTCAGAATTTTCTGTAGAAAGTAGGCAGTTCTTCACAAAGAACTAGTAATTTGATTCTGATTATACAGCTGAAAAGCAGTTTTAAAGCATGCACTAGATGGTTGCTCCCGTGCTTAAAACCCTCTGATTACTTTCTGTATATTTGCAGTTAAATCCAAACTTTTGCAGTTAAATCCAGACTTTTGCCAGGACCTCTAAAACTATGATCTGGACTGTGCCAACCACTCCAAAGTTCCGGAGAAAGACCAACCTCTTCCCAACTGAAGGGCCCTTCCATATGCTTGCTGTTCCCGCTGCCCGGGACATTTCTTCCTGTTCTTCACGTGTCTGACTTCTTACCCTTCAATGCTTAGCTTAAATTCATCTCAAGAGAGGTCCAGCACATCTCTAAGCAGGATCCTTCCTATGTATTTCCTTCACGGCATTTATCCGAAGACGAAACTGTGCATTACATACCAGCTTCATGAAGGCAGGAACACTGTCAGTTTTATTCACTGCAGATTAATGAACTTCAAAACAGCAATAAAAACTATCCAGATTTTCCAAATTTGATGGAAACTATAAACCCAAGGATCAATGAACCCCAAGAAAAGAAACATAACACTACAAAAAGAAACAAGTCCCATAATTGGTGATAAAAGGAATATTCTAAAAGCAGCTAGAATTTTTTAAAGCCTAAAGGGCTTTAAAAAACAATGCAAGCTAGAGGACAATGGACCATTATTTCAAAATACTGAAAGAAAAAAGCTATCAACATAGAATTTTTTTCTTCAGAGAAAATACCCTTCAAAAGCAAAGATGAAATAAAGACTTAGAGAAAACCTAAATAATTCATCACTAGAAGGCCTCCATTTTAAGAACTGTTAAAGTTCTTTAAGCAGGAGGACGACATCGCATGGAAATGTGGATCTTTACATAGGAATAACAAGCAGAATTTTTATCTGGTGGAGGGGGTGCCTGGATGGCTCAGTCAGTTAAGCATCCAACTCCTGATTTCAGCTCAGGTCACGATCTCAGGGTCCTGGGATCAAGCCCTGTATTGGGCTCCATGCTCAGCAGAGGCTTGAGGATTCCCTCCCTTTCCCTCTTCATCAACCCCTCCCCCTGCTCTTATTCTCTCTCTCTCAAATAATTAAATCAATCTTTGAAAACAAATTGTATCTAGGGGAAGAAAAATAATTTGTATCTGTGAGTAATTACAAAGATTCTTAAATCAACTGTAGAAAGCAAAAAAAATGTAGAGTTTGTAACATGTAGAAATACGATGTATGAACAGTACAAAAAGACCAGGAGAGGAGATACAAAAACATTCTCTTGTTCTTTATACTGTAC